AATAAACAAAGAGTAGTGTAAAGATGTGCTTTATTAGACTGATTCATAAGGAACACATGACTTGCAAAGCCATTCAAATTTCTTTTTGTTCAGCTTGGCTGGACAGAGAAAACCTTGTGGCTTTGTAAGCCAATTGTGATGTTTAACTACTCTCTGGCACCATGAAGACATTCAGGATCCTGAAACTTTTGTGTCACATGAAACTGAGTAATGTGAAGGTGCATATTTTCAGTTTCAGCAAAAGCACAGAGAACAAACTGCTCATTCCTGTTTTTGCTGTTCCAGCAGCATAGATGTAAGGTATTGCACACATTTGTCATGTTAAGAAATGGAAGATAGGTTGGTTCTTCTCAATGATATATTTATTACTAGCACTATGCTAATTTCTAGACTTCAAAATAAAAAGATGCAGGTTAGCTATATTCCTCACAGTAGAAGCTGGTCAGATACTCAAGGCAAAAATAACTCAAAGAAAAAGAATCACAGTTACAAAGGGCAAAACTATATTACCAGAGCTTACACAGTCTCAGCAAGAGCTAAGGCATATTATTCCCAGCCTCCATCAACTCAGTCTCTAGGGGGGGTACTCTTCAGTTCTTTTATGTGGATGAACTATTGAGGTCTAAGCAGTGAAACTCTTAGTGCAGAGAAACCACAGGAATATAACTTGTCACTAAGATACCCATTAAGACTGTCTAAATACTTTTAGGATTGTTTCCTGTCATGCAAAGATCCATGTAAAATCTTCTATGCTCCATAATTTAGGTATTGTCCCCTTGATTCTTGTTACTTCTCCTCCTACCCCGGGGAAACTGCTGATCATTTGCAACACTACTTCATTCTGCCACTCAATCCTTCCTCCAGAGTCCTTCCATGCAGTGCAGTTCAATAGATCTCTACATTCATCGTTGATCTTCCATCCTCAGAACATTTGATTGCTCTTTCAGGGCCATGGCTCCTAGATAATAGCTGAAAACTTTAAGAGTGTGTTCTGTTCCATGTTTAATTTCACTAAAAAAGAGTATTCACGTATTCTTGGCGATCAGCAAGAAACTGTTTTGCAGGTCAGATTTTCAGCAAAAACACTCCTGTGTCCATCCACTGTGGGAGGGCTGAGGGGTAGAGGGTGAAAGGAAGACTCAAAAGGGACAAAATGCCTTTGACAGCACCAGAATTTGTACAGCTTCTAAAGGAGTGGTTACTTTCCAGTCTGTCTCCAAGAATTTCTATTGAAAAAAATTATTTTAAATTCAAGTACAAAGGATTTTTCCCCCTTACATTAGAAATGCAAGTGAATGAAGCTGTTTCATTTTTGAGACACTATATTGGATTCTTTTTTGATTAAATCCTCTGGATTCTGATATTACATAAGTTCACTTCAAGAATTAAATAGATCTGTGTTGGTAAGTAAGTAAAATAGTCTCTTGGATTTGCAGGATTTCATAATGTGTATTAACTGGTGTGGCTTGCTGCTAAGACAAACCTTCATTCCTCAGAAATTTCAAGACGATAGCAGAAGGGTTCTGTCTTCTAAACTAGTACAGCAGTGCTCTTATTGAGAGCATATTGCTAGCTCTTCTACCAGCTCTGAGTTTTGCAAACAGTCTCCCAGGGAGATGATAGCAACCCAAACCCAGACCTGGCACAAATCTTCTGGGCTCTCCTAGCAAAGATACCACACTCATTATTCAAAGCACAAGGCTTCTCATCTTCCCCAGGCAGACAGGGGAAGAGCATGGGAGGTCAGGAAGTGTGTGCAAATGAGATCATGATTGCTGTCCTACCTTTTACCTTGCTGTTGAAAGATTCACTTTTGACATTTTATTAAAGACAGTCCTTGTGCAACCTCTCACCTTTTCTCCTTTGCACACCACTTGATGTCATCTAGTCTTTGCTTATTAGATAAAGGGGGCAGATGTTTATTCACTACAGTAGCAGCTATGCAGACAGGCGCAAGACCTGTCACAAACATGGTAAGGTCTGTGTTTAGCCTTGCAATGATAGAAAACATAGTGTCACAAGATAAATGTCAATGAAAGTGGTGCTGAAGGCTAATCCTATTTATTATGGGAGGTGAACAGTGTTATCAAAGCTGCCAGGTGTAGAAGAGTCATTTAGTACAGACAACTTCGATGTCTTTGAAAGGTATAAAATGAAGAGAACCCATTCAATTATTGCCAGGAATGACTCCTCACCCTCCCCCAAGGCAATTGTTTTAAGTGTTGGAAGGAGAGGAAATAGCTCATTATTTTAAGTGGCTTGAATTGCTTTCCATCCCTCCCAGTTCTACTGGGAAAATATTTAACATGGAACAAACACAGTGGAATCAATAGTCTTCCTGTTGTCAGCTTTTAACAGTAACTTCACTAACATTTATGGGCAAGGATCAAGGGGTAAAAAAATTCCTAGGCCTATTTATTTCCTGCCTAGGTAGGTAAAGCACACCAAAAATCTAGCACATTCCCAACTTGGTTACACGCAATTTTCAGCTGAAGATTTTCAGTTTATACCCGTGTTAAGTATAAACAATGGCAAACACCAGTGTCCATTAAGGTCAACCAAAATATTCTTCTCTGTCAGTGATGCTCTTTGATTTCATGTGAAGTGGAGATCTGTTCCAACTGTAGTAAGCATGCAGCGCACCTCCAGCCTCATTTCAGCCTCAGCACTGTGGCTCTGTGCCACCATCCCAATGACCCCATCAACCTCATTTTACCTGTTAGTCTGAACGTCTGTCCTTGATTGATCCCTAGCCCCAGTGGTCAGCCCTAAACCAGCCTCAACCATTCTGTTTGCTGTTTTGTACGTGGGTCTAGCAGTGTCATTTGCTCTGAACCCAAACATACCCAAAATGTAGATTTAGCCTGTGGGATGTTTTCAGCTGCTAAACCAAATTCCACTAATGCAAATTCTGGCTGCCAAACCAGCAGATCAATGCTTGCTGGTTTGAGCCCTAATCTCATAATAAACTGGTGACTCCTGGCAGTCCCCATGGCTTTTGTAATTTATTTCTTTTAATATTGATTTGATTTAATATTTTCTCTTTAGACAGACAACCTTAATCCAGATTGGCAAACCTGTTCCAGACATTATCTGTGCCCTAGCACACACTTTCCTACAAAGCGTCCCTTAAAGGCATCCACTTTAAAGTGTACTCAGCAACCCCGGCCAGGACCACAATAACCTATATTTAAATGCTGTTGATGACCTTAGCCAGCTACCCTTCCCCATCACCTTCACTAAGCACAGACATAGTCTTGAAAACTCCTCTCTTCAAAAAAGTAATTCTTACTGCTTGTCTTCCCTGCCAGCATGAATATTACTATTACAGTTACTGATATGAATATTATCATTGCTTTAGCCTATCAACTTTCTATAAATTGAGGTAAGACCTAGAGGAAGCCTTCCAAACCAGTTATAATACTGTACACAATTACTCAAGTCTGAGTAAAGTCTCTAGTTACAGCACTGGATGCAGATGTACAGCTCAGATAAGTAATCCGCATTTCTTGCAGTGCCCTACCAGTGTCCAAACCCATATGCTAGGCAGGTCTGACCCTGCTGGACTTAGCCTATCAGCAGTAATCTGGAATTACATATACATGCACTGTGATGCCATCCCCACTGCTTTATCGTAGCTAGTCGTGCTTGCATAGCCTCGATGTAGAATTCTGTGGTTAACACAAGCCACTATGAGCATTAAACTTATCTGGGCGGCCCCTACAGAGCCTAACTTTCTAACTGCCCCTGATCCCATCCTACTGGCTTGAACTGGTTAATCCATAGCTTGCCTTAGTTAGGCAAGTAAGAAGATTAATAGCCCCTGATGGCAGCAGTTACCTAGTAGGGACTGTAGCCTAGATCACCTCTCCTGGTGTTTTCTGATCCTAACTAAACTCTGCCTGCCTTGGGAGAAGACCCAGATTGCAGCCTGATGAGGTGACTAAGCCTAAAGATCAGGTGAACATATTTAGGTTTGATTTCAGGCTAAGGTTAATTGCAGCCAGCTGATCATTACTACCACAGATATAAATATTACCAGGTGGCTCTTTGTGGGTCTGTTAAGTCTTAAATACAGTCACATATCTCAAGCCTACTTTTCTTCTCTTCATGAACCCTAACTGCAGTTCTTGGAAGATCTCCTGGCACCAACCATTCCCTGCCTGATCTGCTCTATTTTATGCTTGTTCTTCTGATAACCTGTATTTAGCAAGGTGATGTCTGAAAGCACTGATTTTAGATGGAAGAACAACATGCCTAGCCACAGTTGAAGAATGTGTCAGCCCAAATTCTAACCCTGGAATAGATTCAAGAATTTCAATTATCTTTCTGCTTTGTAAGGAAGTGACCCTCTGTGCTTCATGAAAAGAGGTCCAAAAGCAAGGTCTATGCCAATGAATAGCCTGGGGTGCAGAGATGTGGAGGTTTTACAGGCTGACTCTATGTGCTGTTTAGACATAGAGAACATCTTTTGACTTGGACACTAATGGCATTTCCCTTATATAATGATAAATTCATTAAAAAACCTGAACCTTTAGCGACGTATCTCTTTACTTAAAAATACATGGTGTTGCCAAGTAAATAGTCACCCAAACATTTGGCTTTTGAGGCCACAAAGTGTTATTCTGACATTCTGTTTTATTTTTAAAATACAGTCTTTGGTCTACAAACCCTTTTCACTGAAATAAGTACAAGTCCAGAAGGAAATACAATACCTTATTGACTAGTTTTATGGTGTCACAGATATCCTTTCAGACCCTCGTTCCTATGGAGGAAGCAAAGTTGTAGTCAAAATGCAGTCATGATCTTGCCCTTTCCCTGGCATCTTGGTCTCATTCCCCAGGCATGAAAGGAGTCATGTCTGCAGATATCATCTATAACGTACCCATCTCTCAGGGACTATCAGTGGTGTATCCTCTAGGTAGCCTCAAATGAAAATTCAACGTCACCAACATCTGGTGGTAGATGATAAAAATTTCCCTCTTCCAGACTGTGCGTACCTGGGACAGCAATGCAATTTTATTGGAGTTACTGGGCTCTGTTTGCTTCTCTGGGGTGGAAGTGCAGCGCAAGCCAATTGAGAAACCAGAAGCTGTGCCTGCAAGAGCCTGGACACACCAGCTGACAGTAATCTGCTTGTTAAAAGCAGAAAGCAGGGCCAGGCGGCACCGCGCTCCTCCAGTACCCTGCGCGCTCCCCGCGCCGTAGCAGCGCTCTGGGCTACCGCCGTCTCCCGGCACCGCGGGAACGGAGCACCGGCACCGGCTCGGGGACCCTCGCTTGGCCTCTCTGCCCAGCCCCCAGAGCTGCTGGGCAGCTGGAGAGTCCCAAGCCCCGAGCCTGAAGGCGGCCCTGGAAACAAGAGCTGCGCTGATTGCTACATCCAGCTCCCAGGAGGACCCGTGAACACCCGCTGCTGCGCTATTTTCCTCCTGGGATTTTAGAAGAGGCGGTTGTCCGCAGGAAGGGGCGATTAAAGAAGGCTGTTTCAGTTTGGATTTGGAGCTTTTGAGGAAGTTATTAGGAGGCATAGCACATTATTTTTTTTGCACAAAACACGTGGATATCAAACAATAAACAAGATTGATTGCTATCCTGAAAAGAAGGCTGTGCTAGAGTAAAAGCTACTTGAACAGAAAGGTCCATGCAGGAGGGAAACTACAGCTGTTTAAATATAGGCTAATATCTCCACAATGGAATACTCATTACTCCTTTTTTAAACATCTTCCCAGAACTTGATTAAAGCAAGCAAAACTCATTTATGTTTTAGCTCTCATTTCTCTTTATGGCCTCCCATTCATCTTAATTTTATTTTTTTTCTTTTTTTGTCTTTTTTTGTTTTCCTTTTTTTATTTATCAGCAAAGCAATCAATTATCCTACTTTGGATGGAAAGTTTCAAGTCAAAAATTTGCATGAAAATATTTTTCCAGAAGGCAAAGTTTCCCCTCAAATAAGTGAAGTTCAACCAAATGTGGAGGGCCTGCTTTCAGCCCAACATGATGCCAACTGTCATGAGTTCTTTGAAAACTCAGGTAGTGAGCAGACATTATGCACAAAGATAACTTTCCCCCTGAATGAGCGAAAAATAATTAGTCTTCCTTTGTCCCCTGTTGATGGAGTTCTCCTGACCTGTCCAGTTCTCCAATACTGGCATCACCAGTAATTCTTCGCAAGTTTCCAACCTGCAGGCTGAAAACATATTTGAAAAGCAAATTCTCTCTTTTCCTGTGGTCTGACCCATTAGCCTCGGTGCTGATGGGTTGCATCTGGATACGGACTGAGAGAGGAGGCAGAACAAGAGGCATCTTTTCACAGTAAAAGACGGTGAACCACTGGGCACCAACCAGGCAGGTCTGGGAACATCCTACAGCCTCACATGACTGAAGCAAATGTCAGAGTTGAGGGTCCTGCTCTACGGGGTGTAAAATGCAACCCCTGAGGATGATACAGGACATGGCCCTGAGTTGTCAAGCTTCACAGCATTCGTGCCAGATATCCATTATTATTTGATTACCAAGAACAATGTTTGAACTTTACTTTCCATGTCATTATCCTTCATTGTCCCTCATTTTACCTCATCTCATCTTCCATAGCTAAGAGGACAGACTTTATTTTTCCTGCCACTTCACTAACATCTGGAAGGTAAGAGCCTTAATTAACTTCTATGGCTATTTGCCTCTAGATCAGAGATAGTTTTGAGGTAATTTTGTGCGGAAACAGCACTTGCTGTCTGTGATGAAGCTGAAATGTGAAGTACTCTCCTCTCTGACCCCAAATCTCCACTCCTAGAAAAGACATTTTAAAGAGGTCATTAAAAGTAATTATAACAAGCCTCACACTGATGACAGAACATGTGGAAAAGTTACTCAAAAAAGGAAATGCCATCAATGTAATACTGTTTCAGCCTCTTTTCTGTAGTTCATAGCCTAATTTTAGCCTGTTTCCAAATTGTCATTGATTAATAATTGCCATACAGTTTTTCAAGAATGGGTGAACATGTCTGTCATGCGGTAAGACTACAATCTCTTTTGCTCACCCTTGCAGAGAATACTACAGGGGAACGGCACAGTGGCAAGAGCTGTGTGGTCATCCGCAGGGAGCCTCAGGAAACACATGCGCTCCAGAGCATTGGAGTTGCTCTAGGTTACCACTGAGTTGCTCTAGCTTACTGCCAGCACCTACAACCAAACCAAACTGAGGTAAAAATCGAGGCCAGGGACTGCCATTGAGTGATAGTGTCCAGCTGAAAAAATTGTATCTGGCCACTTTTACACCAGTTTGATTGTTATCAGCATCACTTTTCTGAATTCTTATTCACTTGAAGAAGTGATGCTCTTTTTGCAGGCCCTGGTGCTGCAGCTTCTGATTTATCTTCCAAGACTGCCAGAAGAAAAACATTAGCAATGCTACAAGGACAAATTCAGATAATAGATTGTTAATATCAAATAGTATCAGTGTTTGGTAGGACCTCATTTTCTTCTCACTTGTAGATGCAGGGATAAAAAAGACAATATGACAATCACTTCTCTGTCCCTGTTAAAAAAAAAAAAAAAGAAAAAAATTACCTTCTGTAATGGACAGTATTTATTTTCTGTTGTGAACCAATAATTGCAGATATGAGACAGTTAGGCATGTATTGTTTCTGTTAAGGACTTGTTTTTAAAATAATGAGCCTGCAACAATTTAAAGCATCCCAAAGAAAAATAAGCTAGGCTTCTCTTGGAATAGGAAGGTGAGGGACACAAATTAAAATAAGTTTTTAGAAAATTGTGTTTAGAACTTGAAATGACTTTTTAGTTAAGTAGAGGAATTTTCTATTCCATGTTAGAAAACAACTTGAATCGTTTGGTGAAGTGCCACCTTGTGGCAAGCACCAAACCTCTGCTTGCAGCTGAAGGGCCTTCATTGCATACTCCCTGCTTGCATGTGGGCGCAGCACAAGGGAATTTTACTGCAAGCAGTCTTGAAGCCATGGTACAAGTAGGAGGTAGGAATACTGTTCCTAAGGAGATGTAAAATGGAAATTTCACCTTATTTAAACATGAGACTTAAGCTTTAGGCTCATATTAAATGCAATTGCATAGCAGGTGTTATCAAGGGTGACATTTTTTTTTGCCATATAAATTAATAAATAAGAAGTGCAGATGATCTTTGTCATCCAAAGTCCAGTCGAAACCAACATCTTCATTTTTAATTCATGCATGACATAATAATTCAATCATTCAATACTTTTTAATTTTATTTCATTCTTTAACTATTCTGCTCATACTAAGAATCATTCCTATATATTGGTTTGTAGAAGGTGTTACAAAGAGACAAAATTCCACTAGGAGGCCTTAGGTGCAATGATATTGTTTGGAGCTACTTTTTTTCTGGTATGTTGTCTGGTAGTCTAGAGAGAAATATTGTTTTTCCTGCAAACTTCAAGCTTAATAGCCTGAGACCATTTCAGCTACAACACAACTTTCTGCTTCTAAACAAACATTTTCTCCCCCTCCTTTCTTCTCCCTTGAGATTGTCTCTTTGGAAAAATTTTCTTCAGCACGAGGCCTTTTATCTGTATCAGTAGTTTTCTCAACCTTTCTGAACTGAAGCAAAATAAAACTTAACACCAGTAGTAAACAGACAGGTTGTGTGGACAGCTTAAAATTCTCTTAGGCAGTCATTCTATCACCAGTTCAGCCTCAGATTAATGATGTTTAATTCTGCAGTACTGCTTCTGTCTTCCGTTGCAGCTTTCTTTGCTTCAAGCAAAGGACCATGGGTCCCTGTTGTACTGATCAGGGGTACTGACTTCAGCAAGATACCAGTCCTATTCCTTGAAGAGCTCTTACTACTTATAACATCCAAATCCATGCTTGGCTGATTGCCAAAGGTGTTAAAGTCAGTTTCTACGTGCATGCAAACTTAACTTACTGTAAAATTACTGTTTCGATCCCTTCCTTTGCACCCAGCATTTGAGGGGCAAAGGGGGAAAAGAGAAGCACATTAGTTGGCATTGGCAGTGGCTTACCTTAGGTACCTCTGGACATTAAGGGTGGGATTGGCAGGATGACAAAAAACAATGCACACTATGCTATATGTTTAAAAGTCTACATAGAAATCAATCCAAGTTTTATTTTAGTTGGAATTGTCATATTTTAATTCCCTCCAATGAGCAGCAAGAAGCAAATATTGTGAATGCTGTTTCCCTTTCCCTTTCCCATAAACCAGCACCTGAACAAAGCATCTGCTAAAGCCAGCACTTTCATTCTAAATTGGAGGTTAAATGAGATTTCAAATTAAAATTCAGTTTTGAGAGAGGAGATCCATACATTTTGCTCCAAATTAATATTTTGAAAATAAATCAGGCTTCCTTGCCAAATTATTCTTTTGGTAGTCAAGTGTGTAGCTGGAAGGTATTTTTTGGACAATAAAAAACATTAAGATGAAAAACTGAATACAATTCAGCAATAAATCTCGTTTTGGGAGTCATTCCAGTTCTATGTCAACATAAAGCCATTATTAACCAGTGTTACTTAGCCCTTCCACACATAGGAGAGGTGAAACTTCTGGGGTGGGAAATGTTTCTCTAAGTTACAAAAATAGTTCAGCTTTGTGTCCAAAGAAAGTGTTCATGCAAGTTATGATTGTACTACCCACCATTAAGAAGAAGTTAACTGGACAGCCTAATTGCCCACCAGCTTCCACTGAATTCTTCAATCTGCCTGTGAAAATCTTTTCTTTCATGTAGAAATAGCAGTTTGTAAGGGAAATTTTTCCCCAGATGCTGCCTTTATTGTAGGCAGCCAGTTTACAGAATCTTTTAAACTTCCAGGATATATGGTACATTTATTGAACAAACTATGCTACATCATATAAGCAACTGCCTTTGCTGTTTTCACACTAGTATCACATTGATGGCATAAGGTTTTCTGTTACAAGCTTGTTTGCAATGCTTTTTTATTCCTTACTGGAAAATTTTGCATGTGGGAATAGAAATTCATGTTATTGGAATGTAGGGGAAGAGAGGAGATACCATTGCTGTGCTGGTTCACTTCCTCTCACCTTTCTTCAAATCTTAAAGTTTACAAGATATTTCTGCAGGTTACCCTTATGCTTCTATATGTTCTCTTCCAGTACTGTCCTAGAGGTGATGACTTTCCATGCAGTGCAGTTTTGTTCATTAACATCTCTCTTGAAAGAAGTAAATAAGGCTGATTCTTAAGTCTTTGTAATTCTGCTAGTAAAGTCCCTAGTACTTCTTTCAATACTGTATTGTCATCTCTTCTCTAGTTAACTCTCTTCCCAGTCTGCAGATCCTATTCCAATTCCTAACTTTTCAGGCTTAAGCACATGGCTCTTTATCAAAGGCTCAGCATCACTATAATTCCAAAATAAAATCTTTGAATTAACTTATCAAAGAAAGCTATTAAGCTAGTTAGCATGGTCTATCTTTGATAAATCTGTGCTGTATTTGATTCCAATTATATTTTCATGGTTTGTTTTGGAGACTGTCATGCTCTTGAGTCTAAATTAATAAGCTTGAAG